TGCAAGTATAAAACAATTTATCTCTATTTTTAACTGTAAGATTTGCTGGCAAAAGCTTAAGCAATAATTCACTATAGAAAATATTTTTTTCTTTTTCAATAGATTCAGAATATTTTTCAATTAGAAACGTAATCAATTCTTCCTTATCAATGTAGTTATCAAACTTGATTTCATTAATTAATTCGTTTATGTTGCTATTCTTGAGAAATATATTTTCAATGTCTGCTAAACTAATTATCTCCATAAGATTCTTTAAATATTAAAAATAATAAATTTAATTTAATAAATATTTAAAAAATAATTAATAATTAATTATTCATCTCTTATATTTGTATTCTTAAATTTAAAAATAATAAATCTTTTATAAATATAAAGTATATACACAATTGATCAATGTTATAATTTAAAAAAGAAACGTAACTGAAATGTATTTATATGAAATGCTTTGTAATACACTTTTATTGTTAAGAAATTAAAAAATTAAGTAATCAATCATTAATAAAAATTAAATAAAATATAAGATTTAAAATTTAATTTAAAAGTTTGTGAAAAGAAATATTGGGATTCCATAAAAAAATTAATACATAAAGACTCTAAAAAAAATATAAAAAAATGTCTAAATAGTAAATTTCCATGAAGCCCATATTAGAGACGTATACCAAGGGAAAAATTTTAAACAAAAGATTCATTAAAACAAATATTGATAAAAGCTTTAATATAAAGGTTCCTAGTGGAACTGAAATATGTCAAAAATATTACTTAAAATTATATGATAAATTAAACATAATCTTCCAAATATAAAGATTTGTAAGATAAATGAAAGATTTATGGTTTATTACTTAATTATGAGATGTCAATAACTATAAAGATTAATAAAAGATATGATAATTTAAGAAGGGATTATGATAAATTTGAGATTTCGAATCAAAATTCAAAATCTACTCTTAAAATATTTTTGTTTCTTTACTTTATAGCCCTTAAAATGAAATAGCAAGATTTTAGAAACATAATCATCAATTTAAAACAATATTCAACTTATAAATTAGTTGATTGATAATTATATATTCTATAAAAATATTAATTACAAATCTTGCAA